AGTGTGCGGGAGAAAGCGCGGCCGGCGGCGCCCGCGAACGGAGGCGGCGCAACCAGCCTCCAGCCGAAGAGCAGCGCCACCCAGCAGCCGAGCAGGTGCACGGGCTTCGGGATCCAGGAGATCCTGGGGCTCAACAAGGAGCCGAGCGCGGCCCCGAGGAGCAGCCTGGTGGGGTCTCTGTCCGCCGGGGCGCACTTGATCGCGGCCAGAGGCGCCGTGCTGGGGCCCACCGCCGTGGGTGTCGGTGTAGGAGTGGGAGTGGGAGTGGGTGTCGGGATGGGATTAATCGGCGCTGGAGGAATTCCGTCGTTTTACGCTCAGCCAGCGTTTTTGGAGACGGTTCTGTCTGACGCACAAGACGTTCACCTGCAGCCGCACAACAGGAGCGGAGGCCCGCTGGACACCAGCCAGTCTGCCAGCTCAGGTACTCCACAGGAACAGAAAATAATACAAGAATACAACAACAAATACATTAAAATATAATAAAAATTATTATTATTATCGTTGACTTGTGTATTTAAAATAAAATAGCCTGTCATTTCAAACAGTGTATTTGTAACAAAGGACTTTTCACATTATTAATTCTTGATTTTCCTCTTTTGTTTTCTTTTTTCCTGAACGTCCTCAGATTCTGAAGATTTATCCTCAAATGAACGAAAACTGTCCAAGTCATCTGTGACTCAGAATAAGAAGCGGAAGAAAAGACGTCACCGGTTAGTCGAGATGAACTCATGATGTTTGTTATCCAGATAATCACACCTAAAAGTGTGGTTTATTTTTAAGAAATAAATTATTTAAATTTTTTTAAAAATACGGGTCTTTACTAAATGTATTTGATGCCGTTTGTAACTAGAATGTATTTTTTTAAATAGTTTAATTATCACACAATTAAAGAACTGAAAAAAATCGATTAAATTATCATTAAACTATGTTTATTATCAAAGACTTTGTTTGAATGTCATTTTGAGGATAATGGGTTTTTTTCACTTTTTAAATTATTTTTTATTATATTTATTTTATTATATTTTTTCTCTGTTTCTGCCTGTTATTATTATTATTATTATTTAAATCTCACTGTTCTGGATTTTTTGTTGTACTTCCGTCAAACACACTGAAATAATTAAAAAACCAACCCTGCTCCTCCAGGACCATCTTTACATCGTACCAGCTGGAGGAGCTGGAGAAGGCCTTTAACGAGGCTCACTACCCGGATGTTTACGCCCGAGAGATGCTGGCCATGAAGACAGAGCTGCCTGAAGACCGGATACAGGTAGATATTATTATTTTATTTTTTTTTAAAAAGTCTATTTTACCACTCAACACATCTGTGTCTCATAGAATTGTTCATAAAAATATTTAAAATCACATTACATACTTAGACTTTTTTTTGTGTTTGTATACAATTCTGAATATTTGTGAGTATTTTTTACACAGTGGTGCTGTTGTTGTTTTCGCTGCTGATTCTTTGAAATCGAGTCTAAATGAAGGGAAGTTAATATAGATCTCGTTTACAGCTTTAAGGTGTTGAAGATATTTAACTGCTGCTTCTCAGCAAAACATAATTTAATTTTTTTTTTTAGCCAAGAGGGAATTTTATTTAAAATGGCATTGATAACAAATGTCATTTACTATTGTTACTATTTTGCGATATTTATTATTTTTAGTATAAAATCAAACCACATTTTATTTTTCCTGAAATGCAATATATATGTTTGTATATATATGTCTATATATATATGGTATATAGATTTTTTTATATATTGGTTTTTTAACTCAAATGTATATATATATATATATATATATATATATATATATATACAGTATATGCTTCACGCAAAGGTGAATAGATTGTGAACAAGGTAAACTGAACGCTAAATGGAGATTGACCTCAGACCTAAGGGAGGTCAGATCTAGTTACTGAATAGGGGGAGACCAGAGGTTTATAACTGGAGAGTAGAGGATGGAGGGAGAGAGACCAGAGTCGGCAGTCGAGTTAAAGGGATACGGCAAGAGAGGAGGTTCAAAAGTTAAGACGTTGGTATTTTTGGAGGCTAGGAGGAGAAGACCACAGACAGATAGGAGGGGAGGGAGGGAGGAGGTGAGACTGGAGGCTCAGTGGAGGAACCTGGAGGCCTGAAGGAGGACTGACGTCTCAGAGGAGGAGACTCCAGGTTTGGTGGGAACCCAGAACCCCAAAGAGGGAGACTGGAGGGGTAGAGGTGAGACCAGAGGCTGAAGTTGGTGAAGGATGAGGGAGGAACCTGAAAAGTGATGAGAGGCAAAACAGACAGAGACTGATGGACTGGGAGGAGAAAATGTAGAGGGGAACTGGCAGACGGGTGAGGAGGAAGTCTGAAGGTGGAAACCATGTGTTATGTGCTGAGATGGGGGAGAAAAAGAGGGGTACAGCTAGGACTAGTGGCTGAAGATGGCAGATTAAAGGCTAAAGACAGATCGGTGGAGAACCTAAAGTAGTGAGAATAAATACTAAAGAAGAGATCAGTGCTGCTCCCCTCCTGCCTGAACAAAGCCCGCTCTCCCCACCTTCATCCTCGCCAGGACAGATAATCTCTCATCAGCCGCAGTAGTTGGATGTGAAACAATTTGTTCTGGGAGAAGAAGCCTAACGACCTAATCAAGCTATCAAGGCGGAGGCCGATTGCAGTGTGACCTGGACCATCCATCTGCCAGGGCGCCTTTTAATCTCATTCTCATTACAGGCTCCAAACAGTAGCAGCGTGAATAAATAATAAAAAAGGAAAATAAATAAATAAGCCTGTGAGCATGAGGAGGAGGGGGAGGAGAGCTTTTATCTTAGGTGGAAATTAACACCCAATTTTCTCATTGAGTGTAATTAGTTAAATCAGATGAGCTGGGGAAGAGGATGCTGATGCTAATGTTGCTGCTGCCGCCGCAGAGACACAGGGAGTTCAAATGAAATAACTACATTGAATTTATTAGCACGGGTCAATAGCGCTGCTCCCCCGAGTCCCGGTAGTTTAATTTCCCGGGATATTTGCCCGCCTGGCCGCCATCGATTGGGCCAGAAATTAACTTATTTTTCAATCAGGCCTGTGCGCCCCAGGGTCGCTCCTCCTCACAGCTATCACACTGTCCTCTTCTGGGGGGAGACGGGGGGAGAGAGGAGGATGAGAAGCAATTTCTGTAGTAAAGAAAAAAGTATATTGTATGAAATAAGGGTTATCATCGGGATTACCATCAAGATGTCACTTTAATATCTGTCCCCTGACTTGGACGCGCCCCCCCTCTGCCCCCTCCCCCCCCCGGTCACGGAGCCATCACAGGGGCCTGTAAGTGGAGTGTTTAACAGTCCTGTGTTGTGCCACACAATCAATCTGGCCTCTCCCTGAGCCGACAGATCGCCTGCAGGGCCTTCAGCAGCCGTTTAGCGCCGGCACAGTGTGTCGGCGTCCTGATGTGTCAAACCATCTGTGATGGCAGCGCAGGTTTCAGCAGATGAGTCCTGACAGGACGGGCGCGGATCGCTCACACCTGTAGCAGGGGATTATGGGGAATCAATGGACCGCATCACAAACAGAGCAAAGGTTTTCTTAAGTTACTGTGAAACACTTTTAAACAAGTCGGGCTCTTCAAATAACTACTGCAGTGCTCAGACTTAGACCCAGTTGTCGTCGGACGATGAGGCCGCGCCTACCAGAGGTCTTATTTGTATTTGAATACACACAATGTTGCAGCTTTACTGTACATTATAAGTAAGGATGTCCGATAATATCGGCCGGATATTAGCATATTACTGTATGTAATATTTGTAAGAATCGTTATTGTTTTTTTCCTCCAATAATGAAAACCTCGATAACGCAATGCCTGGGTTTTGCCAAATGATGTCTGCCCTAAAAATAGTTTAGGGGATAAATGGCTGTATATTTAAGTGAGAGTCACTAGATGGCAGTATTCCAGCTCATTTAATTAATCTCATATTCATACATTGGATTGTACAGATAAATACATAATATTACCATGTCTGTATCGGTTGATATTGGAATCAGAAATTAATGTTTGGACAATATCGACAAAAAGTTCATATGGGACATCCTTAATTATAAGATAATCATTTTGGATAATTAATTATCACAGCTAATTGGCCCATAATATGTATTATAAACATTCATCATCTAATACTGCAATGACTCATCCATCTCCATCAGTTTATTACCACATTTTCTGAAACTGACTTCAGGTCTAAAGTTTGGTAATTTTTGCTCTTACTTTTAGCTACGCAATTGAATTTTAGTTAGATTGATTTTGGAGTTAAATGCAACACAAATTTAGCCGAACACCTAAAAAGGTTTAAATGCATAACACTGAGAAACTATTAACACAAAGTCTATAAATGAAAGCAATTGTACAATATACGTAACCTAATTAAAGGTGAATTTTTATTTAAATAAAAACAAATATTATTTATCAAGGAATTGTTTTCCGTTTTAAGGTGTAATGGGCTTTGTTGACTTGACTTAACTTTTAGCTGCTAAATTTAAGTTGTAAAACCAATTGTTGTGAGTCGACTAAATCTATTTACAGGATCACTGACTACTTCATTATTTGTACATTAAATTACATTACTGCACTTTAAGAGACTAAACAAAAAAGTGCTTCAAAAAGGTTGGGAATGACTGTTGAAGATTTGCCAACAGATAACACTTTGTAAAAAGGTTGGGAATGACTGTTGAAGATCTGCCAACAGATAACACTTCAAAATGTTCTCCGACCACAGGTTTGGTTCCAGAACCGCAGAGCCAAGTGGAGGAAGAGGGAGAAATGCTGGGGCCGCAGCACAGTGATGGCAGAGTACGGCCTGTACGGAGCCATGGTGAGGCATTCAATACCTCTGCCCGAGTCCATCCTCAAGTCTGCCAAGGATGGTATCATGGACTCCTGCGCCCCCTGGCTGCTAGGTGAGGCTAATTTTCAGTTTGTGGGTTATAGCATCTATTTATAAAAACATGAGAAGCACCACTGGGTAAAAAAAACCTCTTGCTTAAAAGTTATTTATACTATGAATACTGACAAATGTGGTTGCATAGTGTGAACCAAATTACCTATTAGGTTTAATTCAAATTTACCTCCACCTGTTGGCCATGAAAGACTGTCAGATGTTATGTTCTAAATCAGAACTATTTTTGCTTGCTGTTTTCAGTCCAAGATGGCTTACCAATCAACAGACGCTATTCTAAATCTGAATACCCGCAACTCTTTGCAGGGATGCACAAAAAGTCCATGGAGACGTCCGGAAAGGTGGAGGCTCCGCAGCAGCCCAGCTCTCAGAGGGCAGAAGAAGCTGAGGCGGAGGAAAACAGATCAGAGGGCAAGTCGGCGATTTCTAAGGAGGAACTGAGAGAGAACAGCATCGCTGCACTCAGGGCCAAAGCACAGGAGCACAGTGCCAAAGTGCTGGGGACGGTGCCTCATGACAGACTGCAGGGGGGTCAACAGGAGAGACAGGCAGCTGAGGAGAAAGTCAGTGATCCCCCGAGTGCAGCAGACGAAGAGGAGGAGGAGGAAAGTCCCTAGTGATGAAGGACGTCCACCCTGAAATGAGACTCTGTCCTGCTGCTGCTTTTCATCCATCACCTAATTCTCTTAACTTGGTCTCTGGACTCCATAGAGAAGGAAACTCATCTGCTGCTCAGAAGATGCTAATGCACTTTTTTTTTCCTGATTTAACGTCAAAATAACTGTTTATGTAAAGATGTTGCTTCGGCCGTAGAGTGGGAAAGAACGGACTAAGAGGAAAATGTTCGTATAACAGAATGTACAGTGGAATAAGTCAAATGAAATTCTGTTTTGATGATTACATTACAATTTGGGCAGGATGACATTTTACTGTTTAAATTCATTTCATTGTTGCTTGTTGCTGTTAACCATTTCACGACCAGTACTGTTTGCGCTGTATAAAATTGATATAATAATCTCTATTACTAAGGCACAATTTGATTTTGACTTTTCTCGTAGTCTTTAAAATGTTTGTGGTTTTTATTTATAAAACGTGTTTGACTCAAACTACGAAGCATAAAACCTGGAATAGCCTTTTATTAAAGAGTCTGTCTTTTTTGCTGTCTGTTTTTTCTAGTTTTCTTTCTTTTTTTTAATACTGTTATCACCGGATTTCATTGTCAGACCATTACTGTCACTTTCAACTAGCATGAAGTTGCACTTGTTTTTGGAGAAGCTCCTTGTTGTCACTTGATGCTCCACTGCCTGGCCTCATTAGTAGACGGTCCCCCGGCCTCATGCATGGCTTAGTCCCAATAATCCGTCACAGTTGAAAGCCTTCAATTTCAGATTAAATCCTGGGAATGGTGCTTTTGGGACAGAGGAGGGAGCGACAACTCCACGTCCTCCACAAGCAGATTCACCTCAGCCTGACTTAAAATATTTTTTTCAATATATCTGATCAGCTATCAACACTCCCTGTATCTCATCCATCCTTTTATCATACAGAGACCAGAGATAATGTTGATCAGATAACGATAACAGAGACATGTGATATACTCAATCCACAGGAAAATCTTTGTTTTTGTAAAGCGTGCGGCTAGAGAGTGGAATATAACAATATATTTATAAAGTGAATACAATTAAACTTATAAGCAGGACATTTTATTAATCACAAAAGTTCAGGAATATTATCTCTTCAGTGACTTACAGTTGTGGTCCATTGCAAATCTTTTTGATATTTTGCTGGCGATTATCAAAAGTCAAATTGATATTATTGGTATATTCTACTTTTTTTTCTTGGATAGAACACAAACACAAAACAAAAGCCTAGCACTTATTAGGATAGAACTATATATGTTATATAAAGTGTTGCTATATGTTCCTACACTTATTCTACTTGTATATAAAACTATATAGTAGTAGTTTCATACAGGATATGTAAGAAAACTTTTATTTTGTGTTTATTTTAATTTGTTTATACTTTTACTTTTAGTGTACCGTTTTTAAATATATTATATATTATTATTATATTATTATATATAAGTATTCATATTCATTCACACGTGAACACTTGTTTGTTTATTAACATCTTAGTGTCTTAACTTGGAGCCTGGTTTTCACTGGATGCCACATATTGTTTTTCCTTATAATTAATTTAATTGCCTTTGTTACTTTTTAAATATTTTTCTTTCTTTGTATATCTCCTGTTATAACATATTTTAAGCTAACATCGAAACTATGGAAAATGACAGGTTCTTAAATTTAAAGAGGCAAAGTTGCTAGTACTCCATATTTTTCTTTTTGATTCATATTTGTTTTGTGAACATAATTTAACCCTGTTCGTTTTTAGGTGTATTTATAAACTAATATTTACTAATTTCCCCTGCCCGTGTTAAAAAAAGACGATAAAAAAATAAAAATAAAAAATCAACATACAGTAGTTAAGGTTCCAGCGGAAATCGAAAAAATTACAAATGGCGCCAGGAAGTGATGTTGGCCAACCGGAGCGCCATGTTTGAAACGGCCAGCTTCCCTTCCAAACCGACAGACCGCAGCCTACAATATGAATATGGTAAGTTCGTCACTGTATTTTATGCTTTTATGGAAACCATATATTTGTGTTACATTGACGTATTCTCACAATATGCAACAATACATTGTCTGTCAACGTTGTTGTGTCCATAATTCAGTGTGTTTGTGTGTTGCTTTTGAGCTAGCACGTCAACGCTAACGACGGCTAGCTCGTTTATCCATAGAGTTTAGCGTTGACCCGCTGCGTGGCGCCATTTCTGACATTGTGCTTGTGTGTCTGTTTGTGTTTTATCACCACTGTCAAATATTGTGCTGTGTTACAGAAAATCAATAATATATGTTGCATTTTTGCTGTATTTATTTGTTATAAATTATGTGTGGAATGTATTAAATGTAATACATACCGCGGTGACAAACATAAACCTAGCGCACCTCACTGATTCTATATATTTTTATTTACAGATCTTTATTTGCATTGGCAATAAACTGCTTTGTATTGGTTTTTGGTGCTTTGATGTCATCAATCTTTCACATTTCTGTGCCTTTTTGTCTTATTACTTTTAATGTTGTTAGTTTATTTGAAATGCATTGAGAGTTGTGAATATTTGTTTCTTGATTATAATTTAAATTGTGAATATTTGTTTCTTGATTATAATTAAAATGTTCTTTGAACAAGCCTGTAATAACATGAAAACGAATATGTTCTATATATTGTTGAATTGTAATTCCAGTGATTAAAGAAAGATGAATGTAATTTGGATATGTTGGCTGACCCTTTTTTAAAAACATTGAATATTACTTCATATCGCTTTATTTAATATCAATATTACAGTAAGGTTGTAACTAACAATGTTCTTGCTGTATCTTACAGGGTTACACAGGGATTGTGGAGATGCTAAGCGTCCACCGAAACTCTATCTGGTATGTCCCACATTTTGAAACATTACTAGTTAAAATGTCTCAATTTTGATAGAAGTTATGGCTTTGCATTCCCCACTGTTATATTTGACAGAATTTTGCCTTATGGATCAATTGTGATATCTTTTAAATGAGAGTCTGTTTTTGTTCTTTTCACTTAGTTGTCATAATGGTTGAGCTAGTTGTTTTCATTATTTTTCAACTGTGTTTGTGTTATGTTGTTCGAAATATGTTCAGGGATGACGGGTAAAAAAAAGTTATAATTTTCAAACAATTCTTTTGTTGTTGTTCTTTACATCTTAATATAAACATGGTGTTGATGTCTAATTAGATTTGTCTGTACAACCGCTAAACTGTGAACGTTGAGCAGTTGTAGCAAAGCAGATGTCTTCAGAAATACTGTAAAATTTTGGATTCAGTTGCTCTCAATCCTGCGTTCCATTTTGTTTACCAAATATAACAATAGGCTGTGGACCATATGGTTTGCATAGTATTATCACTGGCGTTATACAAGTTGGAAAATATGGCTAATTTGTAGTTTTAATAGAAGTTACACAGAATACAATAGACCACTTATGCTGTAACATACTGTATTTAATTTAAGTGAATTTAAGTCCTTGAACCTGACACTTTTTGGATTTGTTTTTCCCACCTGTGTGGAGCTCAAACAATTGTATGAATTCTACTTTTTAAATGACCAAATGATGGACGTGCCCCAGGGTTATCTAAGGTCGTGACTGTGCTATCCGTCAGATTAATGCACTCCAGTTGGAGTAATCCAATCCTGGCTTTACTTCACTAATGGAGATCACGATAACCATATATTTGAGGGTGCTAGACAGGATTTTGTTTTTGGTGTTTCAGCTACGCCTGGCCTAAAACTAAAAACAAACTGAACCCTGAAACTCAACCCTCTTTGGGTCATAACAATTATTAACTGGTGTCTCAGTCACTGTGACATGTAATGCATTATTTTAGGGAAATGGCATTGATATCATTAGGATTGTGCCTCTAAAATGGATGCAAATATTGTATATAATTCACTTTGATGTGAAAAATCATGTCTTCTGCCAGAGCCCTCGCCTCCACAGCACCTCCCTCCGTCTTGTTCATGGAGGCTGAGACACAGTGTGAAGATTATACCTCTTTAGTGCAGAGCTATTTAATCCTCTGAGAGTGGCATATAAATTTGTGATGGATCAGATTAACGGAAGATCAAGTGGTTTACATTGGATATGAGCAGGTTATTTACACTGTCCCTTATGATGGACAGGCCGCTTGTTGAAGACCATCATAACATGATCTCAATCCAAGCAAAGTGACATCAGACTGGGGTTTATATGAAGATTTGGTTCTCATGCAACATTGACATTCAGTTTCCCTTTTTTGACGCTCGTAGGTGCGATGTGGTTTTAGTTTCTGTAGATTATGTTCTGAGTGGCAGTGGCGTGCGATTGAACACAAGATGAAGATAGTGTGCTGAAGAGGAATGTTAATGTGGTTCAGTTCTGCCCTCTGCTGGACAGACCAAATGGTGCATGTGAACCAGAGAAAACTTACAACTTGAGGTTGTTGATAAAATTATTATATAAATAATTATGTCGTTGATTGGATCACTGGTTTAGGGCAGTTAATCAGTTACTCTCTGTTGTGGTATGTAGCAGTTTATGAGGTCATCAATCTTTCACAAGTACTTTATCAATACAGACCACCACCTGCAGTAACGGCATTTTACTTAAACATAAAGCATCTGTATGGCACTCGTATATAAAATGGCTTTTATGACATTTAGTTAAAAAGTTTATGAGGTCATCAATCTTTCACAAGTACTTTATCAATACAGACCACCACCTGCATTAACGGCATTTTACTTTGTAAAGCATCTGTATGGCACTTGTATATAAAATGGCATTTATGTGATTTAGTTAAAAAACACCTATGGCACATGTAAAACACCAAGTAAACACCACAAGTAGAAGATAGATAGATAGAAGATTTCATATTATCTAAACTGTCATATATTATTTACTTTATATGACCAGTATTCATTGCTGGTTTGACAATCAAATTATTTCAATTTTGCCACGTGCATAAGATTGTGTCTGAATGCAGTTTGAATGGCTAATACTGCGAATTATCATCATTTTCATGTAATCATAAAAAATGCTAATGTAGCCTAAGAACTTATGTGTATGCAATTCAAATGTATAATGTGCTGTGATTCTCCAGCTGTTTTAAAACAGTACCTTCCTAAATTAGTGCAGGGTTTACAGTATTGCATAAGCTCGTTTAGAAGTCTCTGATAGTGGCCTACAGACTTGGATGAAAGTGTATGGGCCCCTGACAGTTTTCCATGAAAATAAGTATTTCTTCCATTGAGCTGTTGATCGCTACACATGTTTTGGTAGCTATATATTAAGGTTATTTTCTTTTGTGTGCATTGGAACTACACATAAAATGGAGAAAAAATTTGACATAATTTCCTAAAGTTTTTATGAATTTTGTTTGAAATTATATCAGAGTTTCCTTTTTCTTTGAGAGAAATTCTTAATTTAATAGAAAAAAATCAGGTGATCACTGTTGATCTTTCATTCTAAAATATCTTACATTGAATGAATTAGGGCTGAAAGTTGTATAGCAATGCACATTTATGAGCAAATGGTGAGCAAAAGGTGAGACTTGTCATGGGTTTGTTATGGGAATAATTGGATTGTGAATAATGAATGTTGTGGAGAACTAATTATTTTTTCTTTTTGTATATACATTTTCTAAAAACTCTTTACAGTTGTGCTTCAACATGATCGGTCTTCATTGGAGTCATCCATGTCAGACAACTCATCTGACTCACAAGACTCCTTGCAAACATCTGACTCATCAGATGCAACAGTGATCGTGTGACAGTGACGGCAAACAAGGTGAGCTTTTAATAATAAATGTTAGAGTAGAGTAGTAGAGTAGAGTAGAGTAGGGCTTTATTCATCCCCCTTGGGGGAAACATACTAGTACAGTAGGCAGTGCAGAAAAAGAGAGAAGAGGAGTTAACACAATAAATAGAGTAAAAAAGAACTAAAAAGCAAAGAGCACTCAAAAATTAAAGTAAACCTTTAGAAAAAAATATACATAATAAACAAGAAAATATACATATTGCACAATAAAGTGGCAGAGGAGGGTGCAGGTAATCAATGTAAGGAGTTAAACAGTCTTATGGCTGATGGGAGGAAGGACCTGCGGTAGCGCTCCTTCCTGCATTGTGGATGCCGGAGCCTGCCGCTGAAGGAGCTACGCAGGTCCTCCACAGTCTGGTGCAGCGGTTGGGTGGGGTTGTTTGTGATGGAGGACAGTTTTGTGAGTGTCCTGCTCCTTGCGACCTCCTCCACCGAGTCCAACGGGCAGCCCAGGACAGAGCTAGCCCTCTTGACCAGCTTGTTCAGTTTTTTTCTGTCCCGGTCAGTGCTGCCTGTTCCCCAGCAGACGACGGCAAAGAGGATGGCAGAGGCCACCACAGAGTCATAAAAAGTCCGGAGGTTTTGTGGGAGATCTGGTTTGAGATTTGAGACAAATGTAGCTTTTTGAAGAAATGGAGAACATACATGCTGTAGAAGACAGAA